TAAGCAATGAGAAGCAACTCTTCGAGAGACTGGAACTATCGAAAGACGAATTGATTGAAATGTTTTCGTATAACAAATTCAAAGTCAGGATTTTGAAGGAGAAGATCAAAGAGGAGAGAACCACTGTCTACCGGTGCGGTACTCTTATCGATCTCTGTCGGGGACCACATGTCAGACATACCGGAAATGTCAAGGCTTTCAAAGTGACCAAAGTATGGCTACTTTTGTTTGTTTAATATTCAAACCGTATTTGATCTCTAATAATAACATCAGTTCTCTAATGAAATTTAAATTATTAATAATTTTCATATCATTTGTGATAAATTACCCAATAATGGCAGTCGTCGTCATCGTATTGGGAGGGAAAGGCAGACCAGGAGTCGTTGCAAAGAGTTTACGGCATATCATTCCCGGATCCGAAACAATTGCGCGAATGGCAGCGAATCCAAGAGGAGGCGGCTAAACGTGATCACAGGAAGTTGGGTCGAGAACAGGGACTCTTCTTCTTCAACGAACTGAGTCCCGGCTCCTGTTTCTTCACTCCCAGAGGGGCTCACATTTACAACACTCTTATGGACTTCATTCGGGTATTGATTTTGTTATTATTGTAATGTTTTTGTTCACTAATATTGAACCCAAAATTGTAGAGCGAATACCGAAAGCGCGGCTTTCAAGAAGTGATTTCTCCGAATATATATAATTTCAAGTTATGGCAAATCTCAGGACACGGCGACCACTACGCGGACAATATGTTTCTGTTCGATGTGGACAAAGAGAAGTTCGGACTCAAGCCGATGAACTGTCCCGGACATTGTCTTATATTCGACTCCGATGTCAGGTCGTGGCGGGAATTGCCACTCCGATTGGCTGACTTCGGTGTTCTGCACCGAAATGAATTGTCCGGCGCTTTGACTGGACTGACACGTGTGCGACGCTTCCAACAGGACGACGCGCACATCTTCTGCACCAATGAACACGTATTCAATTGGTTTTGACTTTTGTTTCACTAAATTTCACACAAATTACTCCTTTAAACAGATATCTGAAGAAATCAAAGGCGCGCTCGACTTTCTTCAAAAGGTTTACTCTGTATTCGGCTTTACGTTCGACTTAGTGCTGTCGACACGTCCCGAGAAATTCTTGGGTGAGATCGAGGTGTGGAACAACGCCGAGGAGGCGTTGGCGAAGGCAATGGATTCCGTGGGTCTCAAGTATAAGC